GTGACACACTGGACTCTGGCACCCGAGCAGGAAACACCTCAATGGACTCGCCTCGACATGGCTCTGCTCCACCCCCTACATGTGGGCACCCTTGGGCTCTACCCACTGAAATCATCCACAAGAGTCTTCTGCTGTTATTGAGGCTACTGGGTTGGCCAGAAGTCTGCTGTGCAGAGAACAAAAAGAAAGCCTGAGGATCAGGGCTGCGAAGATTACTGTTCTCAGCAGAGCATGGGGCGCAGCTAGATTTTTCAGAGGTGGAGGAGTACTTTCCTCCACTGCTCCAGGAATAAATACTGCTAAACCCGAATTACGACAAAGCGTCCCTTGGAAAGTGTCTGGCATTCCCGCTCAGTACACAGTGTGTGTACGTGTGGTATTCCTTAGGTGAACACCCTGGCCATGGATCCCAACAAAATTTTCTACTGAAAATAACAACAAGGAATCCCTTAGCGAGATACAGTTCCCAGGACTTCCCAGTATCAACCACTGGCATTCAGACTATACTCGGGGATTTTGGCACATCACATTCAGGTGGAATAGCTGGTGCATCTAGCTGATACCACTGAAGGAGGTGAAAGGGAGAGAGCCTCAGTGCTTAGTTCCTGTAGCCTATTCTTACACGCCACTTGGGGTCAGGAAGCAACTTTTCTCCAGGCCAGTTTTGCCGGGGAACCTGGAGGGTTTTTGTCATCTTCTGAGCATGGAACAGTGGTCACTGTGAGTATGGAGGGGGAGGAAACTGTGAATTTCCTGCATTGTGGAGGGGGTTGGACTAGATGACCCTGGAGGTCTTCCAACTCTATGATGCTAAAATTCTAAGAAAATAACCCTATTACATTCAGCTAATCAATGGAATATCACTCACACACACGCACCAGAGAACTAGGAAATGAAGAGGTGAAGAGATCAGTGACAAAAGAGGGCGAAGCATTGGGGGGGGGGTACAGCTACCTGTCCAGATGTGCAGAGGTCCACGGAGAAGGGATTACAGCCCAAACAAAGTTTAGGGGTGAACTGCCAGTTGGAATCAGGACAGACACACAGACTGAGGCTATGTGCTTTGGAGGATAGAGACATGGGAAAACAATGCGGACCAAGAGGAGGCCTTGAGGGGCTGGTCCCAGGTGAAGACAAAAGATTTTCAGGACCAATAAGATGTCCCAGGGGGTGTGATGCCAGGGGGAGCAAAACCTAGGTGTGACCAATGAGGTTCCAGAGGGGCAGAGCCTGGATGGCACCACTGGAAATGGCTTAATGGGTTTGATGACCACTGATGGTCCTGCCAAGGCAGGTTGAATAGGTTCCCAGGTTTAGACACAAGGTGGGAAATGGGCCCTGATTGGCATCAGGAAGGCTCGTTAATAATTTGAATGTTTGATTAGTTATCTCGGTATCCTGAGGGATGGAAAAGGGAGGACAGTTGTGTAGACAAAGGATTTCCACATAGACATAGGTTTTAAACAGAAAAGCTACATGAAGTTCTGGGGACAGAAGGGCTATTCACCAGGTGGCCACTGAATAGCTTTAGAAATGCAGATACTGTATGAATACCTTGCTGGGTGGAGGGGGAAGACTGGAGATTTCTTCAAGGGCTGCTTTGTGCAATCTGAAAATGGAGACCCTTTTCCAGAGCTTTGGCTTGCTCTGTGGTTTAGGTTGAGAATACTTTCCTTGGACTGACGTTGTGAGTCTCCGGTTTAGGTTAGAAGTGAGGTGTCTCGTTGTTGGGGCTACCCTGGAGTAAGGCAGCACCTCTGGGCTAACAATTCTCCCCCTTGAAGACGTATTCAGGCATGAGCCAAGATGGCTTCACTTCAAACGATGTTGCACTGCCGTTTGAGTTCCATGTGACCAGAAATCAAAGAGACAGCCAAACAAAAATAGAGAGATTGAGGGAAAGGCTGGATAGGGATCAGGCTTACCGATTACAAAAATAAGTTGCTGGGAACCAAAAAGGAAAAATAAAAATGTTCTAAAGTCAATTAAAAACCAAGCCAAATTAAAAATAGGGCCGTGTGTGTGTGTATGCATGTGTGGACTGTCTGCACACCCCTGCAAAGACACAAGACTACAAATCATATACTGTAAATAATGCTAGCTATAGCACATCTAAACAAAACTAGGTTCTTAATGAAGGCTTCTAATTATTATAAAGCAACAAAAGGAAATGTTCCAAAAATGTATAAACTAAAAACGTATCTAACTCATAGGCAATTGCTACTAAAATACCTAAACTCTTAAGCAAATACAGAAAGCAAAAACTGACTGGTTAAGGAACTTGAAGCAGAAAGATAACTAAAAACAATGCAAATGCTATGCTAAACTGTTTACAAAAGGGAAATAGAAGGAAAAGGTGAGAATGAATGCGGGTAAAGACATGCATACAGAACAGATTACAGAAGTGTGGGTAATAAAACATGAACACACTGTGAAGTGCGAGCAGCGGGACAAAAGAAGATCAATTTTGAGCTTCAGTTTGAGCACAGTTTGGTATAGACAATACAGACAATTGATAAATGCAGTCAGGCAATATCAATACATTTCTGGAATCAACCCCCCTCCCCCCCCCCGGAGTCCTGAGTGACCTGT